GGTCACTGGTGTTACAAAATTATCCTTTAGAACCAATTTTTCAAAATACTTTCTCCTAAAACTTTTTTTTATTCACCCAAAATGGACTTATCATTTTACCAATTAACTTCAAGTACATAAAAAAAAAAACATTTTTCATAGGAAACTTGTATGATCTAAACATGTTTGCTGATTTAGCCAAACAACATATTGAAGAAATTGCATCATAACATTTGAATGTCATGTTTTTACTTTTGAGCAATCAACTTGAATGTCCTTGTGAATGAAAGTACTTTCATTATAACATCTTTACCTTTCTTTCAAATGATCTAAATTATATTGAAAAGAGTCATTTAAATTCATGACTTAATCCATATAAATCAAATGTCTATTCAATTATCTCGTCTCTTAATATAACAAAAATTTTAAGACCAATTTGTAAATTATAATGCAAACATCAAAAGATCCAATTTAAGCACGAACAATGATGGTGCCGAGAGAATAAAAAAATGTTTGATGCTGAACGAGCACTTCGAGGGCATTTTATAGCCCAACTTGAATGGTAATTCATAAAGTTAAAAACATGTGAGAGTAAGGCTAAGGACCTAACAACTCTAATCAAGTTCGACAACTAGCTAGATAATGGCATCACTATGCTAACTCGGAGGAATAGAGGCCTAAACGAGTAAGTTTTTGAGCATAAATCAAAGCAATCAAAGACTTAAAGCATCAAGTTAGGGGGCAAATAGCAGCCTTGAAAGAAGATGATGACTTGAATGTTTGATCTCGACTAGCACTTGAGGCCATTTTGTGGCTCGACTTGAATAGTAATTCATAAAGTCGAGAACATTTGAAAGCAATGCTAAGGACCTAACAACTCTAATCAAGTTCAACAACTAGTCAAACAATGGCATATCTATACTAATTGGAGGAACAAAGGCCTAAATAGTAATCGTTTAAGCATAAATCAAAGCATTCAAAGCCATCCAAGTTAGGGGGCAAAGAGCGAGTCCTAAGAGAGGATGACGACTCGGTAAACGTTTGACAAGCAACCGAGGAAGTTAGGAATGGTCTTGTAAGGTCATATCACAATAGGTGGATGGTTGTCCCCTTAAAAGGTTAAGGAAAGTCTAATCTACTTTAGTTTGTTGGGAAAAAGTGAAAAAAAGTTCATAATGAATAGTGATCAAGGCTTAGGGGAAAGGAAATTTCGATAGTACCGTAAAATATGGTTCGAGTGTAGAAGGCCAAAATGAGTCATCAAAAAGGGAGTTGAGTGCCAACAAGTTAGGGCAGCCTATGCTTCTTTTATGTAAAAAACTAACCATTACAATTAGTTTTATTAATGTATTACTCGAACAATATATCGAAAGATCACCCGAAGCAATTTGTATTATCTTTTTCGATTAGATTATCTATCAAATGTTTGTTTCTTTGATCTCAATTAGAAATTAAAAAAAAATCACCCAAAAAGGTTCGTATATCTTTTTCGATTAGATCACATGTCAAAAGTTCATTTCTCCAATCTCTTTTTTTTTTCAAGAAAAAAGATCACCTAAAGCGGTTCATATATCTTTTCCGATCGGATCACATGTCAAAAGTTCATTTCTCCAATCTCACTTTTTTTAAAAAAAGATCACCCAAAGCGGTTTGTATTTTTTTATCAAATCACTTGTCTAAGGTTTGTTTCTTTGATCTCATTTTTCAAAAAAAAGGAAAAGATCACCCAAATTGGTTCATACATCTTTTTTAATCGGATCACCTATCAAAGATTCATTTCTCTTATCTTAGTTTTCAAAAAAGAAAAAGATCATGCAAAGTGATTTGTATATCTTTTTTTCAATTAGATCATATCGAAACTTCATTTCTCCGATCCTAATTTTTTTTTCCCGAAAAAGATCACCTAAAGCGAGTCATACATCTTTTTTTATCGGATCACCTATAAAAGATTTGTTTTTTCAATCTCAATTTTCAAAAAAAAAAAAAAAAAAAACAAAAAGATCATTCAAAATAGTTCGTATATATTTTTTTGATCGGATCACTCGTCAAAAGTTCATTTCTCTAATCTCATTTTTCACAAAGAAAAAAGCTCACCCAAAGCGGTTTGTATATCTTTTTCGATTGGATCATCCGTCAAAGGTTCGTTTCTCTAATCTTATTTTTTAAAAGAAAAAGGTCACCCAAAGCGGTTCATATCTTTTTCAATTGAATCACCTATCAAAGGTTTTTTTCTCGAATCTCATTTGAATATTGCATTTTAATTTTTAAGGTAGGCTACCCTTGACAATAAGGCCATCACATTACATGTTTAATTTTTAAGATAGGTCGTCCTTAACAAAAAGGCCATTGCATCGCATTTTAATTTTTAGGACGGATCGTATTTGACAACAAGGCCATTGCATGTTTAATTTTCGGAATAGGTTGTCATTGACAATAAGGCCATCATTGCATGTTTAATTTTCAAGATAGGCTACCTTTGACAAAAAATCCATCGCATTGCATTTTATTTTTTAGAGTAGGTTGACCTTCATACTAAGGCCATCATATCACATTTTAATTTTCGGGGTAGGATGCCATTGAAAATAAGACCATTACATTGCATGTTTAATTTTCAAGATAGGTTACCTTTGAAAAAAAAGTCGTTCTATTGCATATTTAATTTTTAGGATAGGTCGCTCTTGACAATAAGACCATCGTACCGCATGTTTAATTTTAAGGATAAGTTGTCCTTGACAATAAGCCCATCGCATTACATTTTAATTTTTAGGCTAGGTCGCTCTTGATCATAAGGTCATTACACTACATTTTAGTTTTCGAGGCGAGCCATCCTTTATAGAAAAGCCATCCCATTGCATTTTTACTTTTTAGGATAGGCCATCATTCACAAAAAGGTCATCCCATCACATTCTACTTTTAGGGTCGGTCACCCATGACAATCAAATCATTATTTTTTATTTTTCAAGGAAAGTCACTCGAAACAACCGAGAGGAATCTTGCAAAAAAAAAAAAAAAAAAAAACTTCTTTGCAAGTTTATTATGCAAAGTCTTTGAAAAATATCATTTTCATTTGACTTTGCGTCATAAGTATTGTAAAAAGAGGACAACTCGTCATAACCCATTTTTTGGTACCTTATTTATTTTCATATATGAAAAAAATAACTTCAAAAATTCAAAAAATAGAATATTGCATAGTTTGTCTTTTCATAATTTTTTAGGCATTTTTGTAAATTTTGAGGATTTTATTTCTTAGAAGTGTTCCCCCATTTTTAATTAAAAATTAAAATTAAAATTAAAATTAAAAAAAGAAAAAAAAAGAATGAAAAAAAATTGAGTAGATGATTCGAGATCTAATAAAAAATGATGTGAAAAATAAGGATCAAATGACATCAATTAGAGATGTAATTAAAAAGGAATAAAAAAAAACTTGATTGAGATTAATTAATGAAAATTTTTAAAAAAATAAAAAAATATAGATTAAATAATTTCAATTAATGAATTAATTGGAGATAAATAATAACATTTATATTGAAATTGATAAAACTAATTCAAAAAATAACTTAAATTGATTTTGTCCCAACCCCTAAAAATTTCATTATATAAACAACCTTTTCCTTTCATTTCAAGAGCTCTCCACAATTTTTCCTATCCCCCACCCCCTTTTAGAAGCTCCGTGACAGCCATACAAGCCCTAATCCATCTAACCGAACCCGGCTCCTCCATTGCCCGAAATCACAAACCACTCCTCATCATTGACCTCGTCCAAGCAACAAGAACACAACCCGAAAACACCCTTAGCAAACGGACAAACCTCTCTTTTTCTCTCTCTACAAACTAACTTTGCTTTCTCTACAAATATTCGGAGTGAAGTCTATCAAAATTGAGGTTTTTTTTTTTAATTTTAATTATGTTCGTGCGAGCCATTTCGTTTTTAGGAGTCGTTGCATTACTTGGAGAGTAGTCATTCATCATAGAAAAAGGGCAAACCCTTGTTTGATAAAATCAGCTATATGCATTTCAAACTATTTGACGAATACCTAGAGTTTCAAGGTTGTAGTTAGATTCAACCTCCCCTAACTAAAGAAAAATCTTTTCTTGCTCAAAAATCTCTGAAGACAACATAATTGCTACTCGATTTTTGAATTCCAGGATTTCCATTCGAGTGAGATTACTCGAATTTGCTTTGTGATTGCTTTACTCGCGATCAAGATGGCATTGCAAAATATTAATACCGTAAACGAGCAATGATGCCTTCTACAGGTATAAAATGCTCAAGATGGTTACCAAAATCGAAGGACGAAGAAATGGCATCAAGATAAACATTTTCAACATGGTTAATATTGCCAAGGCTTTAGCAAGGCCGAGTTCTTACACTACAAAGTACTTTGGTTGTAAGTCAGGTGCACGATCTAAATTTGATGAGAAATTAGGGATTTCACTTATGAATAGTTCTCATTAAACTATCAAACTCGCCGGCTCGCTTGAGAACTTTATCAAGAAATCTATGGAAACCTTGAGACCGAGATAATCATCACCAAAAGCCAAATGATCCAACTAAAATGTGCTTCTTGTGGTTTTATGTAGGATGTCCATATGAGGGACAAGCTTACCATTTTCATTGTGAAGAATCCTCCCGAAACAAAGAAGGGATCGAAGGATAGAAAAGCAATGAGGAGGGCTGAAAAGGAGCGATTGAAGAAAGGTAAAGTCGATGATGAGGAGATGAAGAAATTAAAGAAATAAGGTAAGAAAAAGAGTTCTTGTACAAAGGATGGCCATGCAAAACCTAGCTCGCAAAAAGAAAGTGAATAGCTCGATAAGGAACGTATGTCACCAACTCATAGCTAGTTTGACAGGAAGGAAGAGGTTGATGATGAAGAGAGTGATGTCTAGTGACGGATAAACATATCTCTTGAGGTAGCTCGCCAATGCATCTAAGAGTAGTTAAGTATAGTGATAGCTAATGTGGTCATGTTTTCAATAGAAGAGATAGAAAAGAAGGCAAAGGCATCCAAGCAAAGAAAATGGTAGTCCAAAAGTTATTGCACCAGCCTAGGAGGCAAAACCCTAAATCCGAGAATGGGAGCAATAGTACTCGTGAAACTCTTGTTAATGAGTTGAAGGTAATCTCGAAGAAGGGAGTTTCGCAACCCGGTCGAAGTCCACTCTTAGTTCACTTACTTGGATCTCCTCGGGAAAAGATGGATGCTCCATCCGAGGCATCGTTTGATGGTGTTGCAAAAGGATTTAGAAATAAGGTTATCAAGAAAAAAATTATATGGCTGGTGTTGTTACTCAAGATGAGGGAATGTTGCTTTTGCTTGAATTAGAGCATTCCGTAGGTAGGTTACACTATACGTTTACGAGTCGTTAATATTTAGATGGATGGTTTGATTTAAAATAAGGAATATAGCTTTACGTTAATCATACTTTCTTTCGTGTGTTTATCTTTGTATTTATATAACAAGTTGTTTACATAAAAGTGTGACTCTATAACACGACATACATAGGAGTGTATATAAGCTATAACTCTTGGAGCCGTGTCTTATCTTGCCGATGACGGTAGTTATCTTTAGTTCCAACAATAGTAATATGTCCGTCTAGGCCGGCTCCAGCGATAGCGCGTGTGGCCGAACTTGTTTCTCTTCGGCGGCTTTAATGGCGGTAGTGGAATGGGGTTCGATACTTTCCCATGAATGGATAGTGATTGAGTGGAAGGAGAATAAAATGTCATTTTATTTCTTAAGAACTTGAATTAATCATATGGAAGTGACTTGGTAAGAGCATCGATAATTTGATATTGGCCGGAGATAAAATGAACCGGTAATTCACCATTAGCAACTTTGTCTCCGACAAAGTGATAATCGATCTCGATGTGTTTTGTCCGAGCATGGAGCATGGGATTCACGGCCGGGTAGGTAGCTCCCATGTTGTCACACTAGATAATAGGAGGGGAATCCTGACCGAGACATAGTTCATTAAGCGGAGATACTAGCCATGTGAGCTCTGCTCGTAGCGTCAACAACGACTTTGTATTTAGCCTCTGTGGAGCTTCTAGAGGCCGTTTTTTGTTTTGAAGATTTCCAAGAGACTAGGTTTCTACCCAAGTAGATAGCAAAGCTCCTCGTGGACTTCTTTTCATCCAAGCATTCGGCCCAATCCGAATCGACGAACCTCTATAGAATCATTGAGCTCTATTTTGTAATGTGCAAACCAAGATGGATAGACTCCCTCAAATACCCGAGGATTAGTTTTACTACTATCCGAGTGATCTATAGTGGGGTGGTGCATGAACCGACATGCCTTGTTAATGACAAATGCAATGTCAAGGCATGTGAAAATTACATACTTGGAGTGCCCTAACTAGTTAGCGATACGGAACTACATCGGTGGGAGACAAATCAAGGTAAGATTGAAGTTTTATGGCTATTGACATTAATGTGCTTATGGGCTTGCAATTATCCATTCTAGACTTGTGTAAGAGGTCTTTTATGTATTTTTATTGAGATAGTGCTAAGCCATCGGCTTGTGAACTACTTCGATGCCAAGGAAGTAAGATAAAGTTTTGAGATCACGGATTGAGAATCGACTCGTTCAAGGTTGTAATTGTGCTAAATATTACGAGTCCGAATTTTCGATGATGATTGTGTCATCAACATATACCGAGTATCGGCATAGAAACACCTCCGATGGTTATAGAAGAAGAGAACGCTATCTATTTTGGAATTAGTGAACCCAAGTCGTAGCAGAAGCGAGTGTGTAAACTAGCAAACCGGATACGGGGAGATTGTTTAAGTCCATAAAGTGAACGGTGTAATTTATAAACATGCTCTAGATGTTGTTCATCAATAAACCCCATTGGTTGTTCTATAAACACAGTTTCATGCAATACTCCATTAAGGAACGCATTGTGAACATCAAGTTGCTCGATTGTCCAAGATTTAATGATTGCGATAGAGCGAACACACTTTATTATGGATGGTTTTACAACAAGGCTAAACGTCTCTACATAGTCTACTCCCTCGTGTTGGTGGAAGCCTTTGGCTATAAGTCTAGCTTTGTAGCACTCTAGGCTGCCATTAGCACGTTTCTTGATGTGATAAAGCCACTTACAACCGATTTTCCTTTTTGGCATGGAACTAAGGACCATGTGCCATTCGTTGAGTAGAGCATTAACCTCTGCTATCATTGCTTTATGCCATTTAAGGAAGTGTTTTGCTTGAGAGTAACGAGATGGGAGCAAGTAGAACGAAGTCGGAGGAAGTAGCTAAGTGTGCTTCGGAGGTCCCATGGATCGGAGCTTTATTGGGTGCTTCTTCGAGGGAGCGATGACCAAATGAGGTCGCTTGAAATAAGTTATAGCTCGCTAAGATCAATAATAAGATTCAAACCTATTTTATTATTAGTACTTGTTGTGGTGAGGGGAGGGAGATCTCGTGGTGTTGGTCGTAGATCTAGAGAAGTAATGGAAGGAATTTGTGTTTGGGTAGGGTTAGTGGATCGGAACGAAGGCGATTGCTTGGAACTCAATGGTGAAAGGGAAATGGATGGTGTAGGTGAGGTCGTTATGCTTGATGAGAGAGGCTGCGTTGTGGGTCCGTGACCGGTGGAAAGAGGCTAAAGTAGATGTCCAGCAATGGCATGTGGTGTGGGTGAGGCTGATGTGGGTGATGCAAGAGGTCGTGATAGGGTTCCGTGATCGGTGGAGAGAGGTTGGGGAAGATGACTAGTGGCGGGCGTGTGTGGCAATTGTGAGTTTTTGAATTTGGTATGTGTGGTGCATATGTGGGTATTGACGAGCTGAGTTGGAGTGGGTCAAGTTTTGTTTGTAAGGCTTGGATTTAGGGTAGGCGACAGAGATGTGATGGGTTGGGTTCGTTGGACCAATGGCCTAACGTGAGATTGGGTCGCTCCTCCATGGCAAGGACTATATACTTTGTGAGCAAAAATCAATATTTTGAGAATTAGTTTCAAAGTATGGAAAGATGTTTTCAAAAATTGTACATGTCTTACAAAATATATATATTTTTTAATCAAGACATCTATATCCAAGATGGTGTGGGCTATATCCTAGAAAAACACAAGGTACACTTCATAAGTCCATTTTACTCTTGTTGTATGGCCTAATGTGTGGAAAGCACAAACACCCAAAAACTTTTAAAAATGTGTAATTTGGTGTATGAGAGAATAAGAGACCATATGGTGATTTATTTTGAAGGATTGAGGTGGGATTTTTCCCTCCCCCATGAGAGTAAGGCCGGTCTCAACAATGTGACGATGTCGTCGTTCTATTGTGCCATTTTGCTTATGTGTATAAGGGCACATTAGGTGATGTTCAATGCTAATTTTTTGAAAAAACCTATTTATGCGGTGGAATTTGCCTCCCTAATCCGTTTGGACTTTTTTATTTTACAATTAAATTATCTTTCGACCAAACTTTGAAATTCAAAAAAAAATTATAAACATCAAATTTTTTTGCAAATTTGATAAATTTGGAAAAATGATCAATAAAAATCACATAATACTTGTGACCATCAACAAAGGGGTTGGTGATGGTCCCTAAACGTCACTAAAAATTAAATCTAAAACGGAATGATTAAAGTGTTCGGTGGGATGCAAAGACAGATCTATAAGATTTGCCCAAAGGATATGAAATACATTGATTACTGAATTTATTAGTAATGCGTGGTAAAATATTATTTGAAAATAAAGTTTGCGGAACTCGAACATATGGGTGTACCAACCTTGAGTGCCATATTTGAGAGGATGCTTTGATCGAGAAAGTTTATGGTGGTAGTGGGCTTGGAGACTCGAAAAGGACATATAAGTTATCTTTAATCGATCCCGAAAGGAGTTGTCTCTACTCGACCCTATTCCTTTAAACAAAAATTAGAAGGATGAAACTCCCAAAATAAGTTATTATCTTTGGCTAACTTTTGAACAGAAAGTAAAGGTTTGGTAATGTTTGGAACTCGTAGAACATCTAATAGTTTGAGGGTCCTAGATGGAGTGTGAAGATGGGCGGTACCAATATTTTTAATTAGAAGAAAGTCACCGTTACGTACTTGCGGTTGATCAGCACCTTGATAAGGTTCATAGTGACTTAAGGCAACAACATCAAGAGTGATGTGGTGTGAAGCACCTATATCCGGGCACCAAACGAGTCGATTGATAAGAGGAATTTGGGAAAGGAACTCGTCATGTTGGCTTGCGGGTTCAATTTTTAGGAGAACCTATGAGAGCAATGCAAGGTCGAATGTCCCCAAGAGTTGCAAATTTGAAATCTAGGTGGACTTGGATTGGTTCTAATTTTATCTTCCATAATTGTTAAAGAGGCATCAATTACGACCACACTAACGTCCTCTTTGTTGTCGTCCTCTACCATGGCTAAAGGGGGTACCACGATCAAGGTTTGTAGGTATAGGTCCATAAGTCCATTGGGTAACATTAGCCATGGGTGAACAACCATGGTGGTAGAGGGGAGTTGAATATCTTGTAGAGAATCCCTGTTTATAAATTCATGACTTAAAAGTAAGTTGTGAGGTTCGAAAAACATACCTATAGCGCCCCTTCCTCGGCCCACTTGCTAATTACCTAAAACGAGTGGCTAAGCAAAGAGCCCGTCACGTTGACACGTCTAACTCGACTTAAACCCTACTACGTACATGCTGGTACCATAACAACATATTACATATTAAAATATGTACAATACAATTTACATGATAAGAATATTCACATGGGAAGAAATTAAAATTTATTTTATTCATAATACTATTAAAATATCTACCGATACCCCAACCTAAAATTTACAATTAAAATAAAATACCCTAAGGTTTGGTCACCCCCGAGCCTTTTTGGAGGATTCGACGGTGTCATTATCGATACTACGATCACGACTACATGTCATAATATGCAAATAACAACGAGGTGAGTCGAAGCTCAGTAAGTGAGGTGATGCATGTGATATACAATGCTTTTCCGACTTCCCACCATGCTCATAAATTTTAATTTCGAGTATCTCGGGTAGAAGCGATCTACTCTATAGGTGATTACCAAATCATCGAATGCTAACAATGAAATTATCCCTCGTTATAGCCACTGCCGACGAGAATCCATCGCCTAACAATGCGAGCACACGGCTTAGAGTACGCACACGAGTTGGACCGCTAACACCTTTTTAATTTGATTAGGTTACCACCCCTATCCATACACATCACGTTTTGACCATTTGATTCTTTCTTAATTCATCCCCACCAAT